TTGTAGGTGGTGACCAACGAAACAATTCCATCTCGGATGATCTCCGTTTGAACTATTGCATATCGAAATCTCTTCGCGAATTCATCTCAACAGATACATTTGACATTGAAGAGAAAGTAAAAATATATTTGTGAAAGATAAATTCTTAATTATAAGGAAGAAGAACGGACAAACTCACTCAATTGACACAAAAAAGAAAACTCGACCGAACAACGCAAACGGTCAATAAGAAACTGTTGTGAATGTTCTGCGTTATCATTCCAATTTGAACACATCAAATCAAAAGATCAGATCAATGTGCAAAAATTACACATGGAAATTTGCATCCAAATGAGATTGGTAAATCTGCGTTTACTAATAATCATTTAAGGCCAAAATTGGAAATTTGATTGAATAACTGAATAAAAGATGTTTCCAATGAACAACGAATAATCGTCGATATGGATCCGAGTCCAATAAAATTACAATTCGAATTCAATTCGTTCAGTGTTCATTGAAGTTTTTTAAAACTTTTCAGTGATGTTCACTGCGAAACGTCTGTTGCTAGCTGGTCGATCGTTACGGAATTCGACAGCTTATTCGATTCCAGGAAACACTTTAATTCATCGCAAAAAATCGTCTGTAATCGCACCTTCACGAGGCGATTATGCGAAGATTACCGATGACGATGTGAGACATTTTCAAGCCGTCTTGGGCTCAGAGAATGTTCGTACCAGCGGCATCGACGAATACAACAGTGACTGGATGAAGTGGTTCAAAGGTTCGAGATCCGTTTATTCACTTAAAAATATTATCTGAGATTGTTTGGATTAGTAGCCAGCCAGCGAACACACCAAAAACCATTGCTTGATGTTACCTGAATTACCTGGATTGGTAGGCTATCAAACGTTTATAACGTTGCTGGCCACAATGCTCGCGTTTCCAACATAACGATCGTGACATTTAACATATAACACATTTCAAACACCTCTGAATCCTCTGGATTGGCCAGATTTTATTGCTGATGACACCATTCAACTCCATGTGAATATATTACCTGGACTGATCAGGCTATCAAACGTTTGTAACGTTGCTGGCCACAATGCTCGCGTTTCCGTTCACACTGTTTTAGCCTTATTCATAAAACTATATCGGTATCAAGTTCCAAAACCTGGTTGATTTTCAAGAATTTTGGGAAATTCATTAACTGTGTGAGAAGATCACCTCATATGAAACTTTTCTATGAGAAAACTTGAAGAACGGAATCAGTGACAGCCCTTTAAGGTTCCTCATCATGTGTACTGCTGCCGTCGAGTGCGCAACAAGTATCGGATTTGCTCAAGTATTGTTTCTCGAGACGTCTAGCTGTGGTACCGCAAGCTGGCAATACGGGTCTTGTGGGTGGTTCAATTCCGGTTTACGATGAAATTATTCTATCGTTGCGTAAACTCAATAAACACTACAAGTTTGATGCACATTCAGGTTGTTCACATCATTGATATGTGCTAAAGCATTCATGAAATTAGTACGAAACTGGGAAATTCCACAAAGGATTTGGAATTTGGGGTTTTGACAATGCACTGATCTAGCCTTTGATTGAATTTTGAACTTTTCCAAATGATTGGTCACCTTACTTTAGTAATTATTCTCAGTTTACTTATTTTTGACTGCAATTCCATCATTTCATATATTTCATCTTGAAACAATCGAGAAACAACGGAGATTAAAAATTTAAGGAGTTCTCGAATGCGATTCCGGTTTCGTATTAGAAGAGTTGGACCAAAGACTAGAATCAGACGGCTACATGGTTCCGCTCGACCTTGGTGCGAAAGGCTCATGCCTGATCGGTGGAAACATTTGCACCGGAGCCGGTGGTCTGAGGCTGATTCGATTCGGATCACTTCACAATCATTTACTCGGACTGGAAGTTGTTAGTGGTGTCGCAGGCGATTTTTTCGATGTATTGAGGAATGATATCATGCTGGTTGATTGAAAGTCTAGTGAATAAAACCGTGACTGGTCAATCTGTCTAAAGGCATTTAGCCTAACGACAGGTTGCCTAAAGACACATTGCCTAACGGACAGTTTGCCTAACTCACGGTTTTTTAATGGATGTTTCGCCTAATAGGCAAACTGATCCTTCGGCAAATTGTCTTTTAGGCAAACTGTCCGTTAGGCAATGCATCTTTAGACAAACTGTCATTAGGCTAAATGCCTTTAGGCAGATTGACCGGGTATCCAATAATACCAGTCATTTCCTTAAAAGCACTTCTGCAAAACAGTCATCCACGAGGATGATCATATCAATTCCATTCTTCAATTTCAGGTTCTGCCAGACAAGAACGGTACAATTGTGAGATTTGGGAGTGCGTTGCGAAAAGATAACACAAATTTACACATGCATCATCTTTTCATAGGCTCTGAAGGCCAATTGGGCGTTGTGACTCGTATATGGATGACAGCTGTGCCCAGATTGCGTAGTACACAAGTTGCTCTACTCGGTAAATCATCAATAAATTCTTCGAACTTTTCAGACGACAGCCGGAAATCCTCACAAAACATTTCAGAATAACGATTTGAATTGCGCCGCTGTTATGAACAACCTGTTTTTCTGTTTTATAAATTAGACAGTCTAATCCTCGATTTAAGTGAGAATCATGCTTTCAGGTCTAAGATCGTTTGAGAAATGCCGTGAAATAGTCCGAATGTCAAAGGATCGTCTCGGTGAGGTGCTATCTGCACTAGAGTTGATCGATGCAGACTCTATGCAATGTGTCCTACAGGATCACACGTTTCATAAAATTCTCAACTCAAATGCTCAGTTCTATATCCTCATTGAAACTACTGGTTAGTGGAGGAACAGTTTCAGTGGATTCTAGGCTAGTAATGTGGTGAAATTTCTGAGCAATCACTGTTCCTGAGATCATGTTGATCTTGAAGTGACGAATCTGATCTATCGATTTCATGCATTGTCAGGGTCTAACGAACGTCATGATCAAGAGAAGTTAGCCAGTTTTCTCACTGAAGCGATAGATTGTGAAACTATTATCGATGGAGTTCAGGTTGGCGATAATATTTCTGATACATTTTCTTTGCTGATGCGAGAGCTTTTTTTTGAATTTCACGAAGGCAACACCGATCCTGCGGAGACTAAGCGAATTTGCGATGGTATTGATAATGAATAATCAATACATTAGGTGGTTATCTCACTAGCTAACTGCACCAAAATACTTACATTTTTTCACCTGTTAATTTACCTGTACAGGTGTGCTTCAGGCTTCATCAAGGCAAGAAACTGAAAATATTTGGCGAATCCGTGAAGCAGTTCCAGTGATGATCGCTCGAAGTGGCTATGTTTATAAACACGATGTCTCACTCCCACTGGAATATTTCTACAGATTAACTGAAGTGATACGAGAACGACTCGCTGTGAGCAGTGATGGTGTTGACGCGAAAGTTTTCACGTTCGGTCACATCGGAGACGGGAATTCGCATTTGAATATTGTAACGGAACACTATTCACAGGAAGTAGCCGATAGGTAAGATTGAGCATCTGAAAACTCTGATTTTTAGTTGAAATAGTTCACTCTGCTGAGGATCGACAGTGCAAATGATTCTATTAGCTCGTATGTTATTGGAATTTTTTCTAGTTTTTTCCACTTTTCAAGTACTTCATCGTAATTTTCTAGTTTCAAATTGTCATCTTCAAAAATTCTTAGTTTTTTCAAGTAATTTCTAGTTTTTCAAGTGATTTCAGGAATAATTCTCCAAGTGAGACGATTCTTTTAATCTGAATGTGACCTTGATGAAGTACTAAATCAAGGCGGATTTTACATTCGGTTGAATGTTAAAATATTGCCCTGGGTGATATTTATTTCTAGAGTCACTTGGAAAGCGGCAAATTAAGGTTTGAGCTCAAACTCAGAGCCGAAACTGATCAGAAATCTATACCTCAGTGCAAGATCTCTTCAGTACTCCATTATCAACGTGGAAAGCTGGAAATATCGTCAACTCTCATACTGAGTCAAGCGAACTAATAAGGAATTGTTTACAGGTTATATCCATTTCTGTACGATTGGGTTGTGGAACACAACGGGAGCGTGAGTGCCGAACACGGTGTTGGTCAAGTGAAACGTGAATATGCGAAGTACGGAAAAGGATCTGAACTTGGCATCGCCAAACAATTGAAACAAATCTTCGATCCAAGGAATATTCTTTCACCTTATAAAATGTTCTGATAGAATGTATAGTCATGGATAATAAAGAATATTGTACAGATATGTAAATGTTATCAATTTTAAGCATTTGATCTGTTGAAGATCGACAGTGCAACTGATTCTACTAGCTCGTATATTATTGGAATTATCATCTTCAAGACATACTCACTCAGGTTTGATCAGTGAAGATATAGCGATCTGCACTATTTTGATGGATCACGGCCTGAGCCATGCATTACAGCCTTATTGCTGATCGTGATTTCCAAAGCTAGCAGTTCTACAATTGCGTACGATCAACTCACACATTTTAAAATCCATATATTCGGCAAGAATAATCATATAAAATATTCCAGAGCGACTCTCAAACCAACCACGCGATATGTTATCTCTCACCAAATAAGCAAATTCAACTGCATCAATTTTTTCGTTCGTGAGTCAGCCAGCCATAAATACTGGTTCAATTGAAGTTTGTTTCGGTAAATAAAAAGTGCAATCAAAAAAAAAAATTTAAACGATCATGCCGACTGTTCATGCAGTAACAATGCGTTCATGGAATAAGCAACAATTATAGTCAGGTATTGAGTAGGAGGTGAATCACATGGTAATAATGATGATGTATCTATTATGAGATACAAATAATGACAATTATATCGCCTAGATGGTTTGTTTGGTTTTTCAGCGATCGTTGCACATTGTGTTGAGCAAACAATGAATTTAAAATTTGCAACAAATTTTAAAAATTACGCGTTTCAATCTCAATCCGATAAAACCGTTTCCCACTTTATGATCAAATTGTTCTGATTTAGAGTTTATACAAAGCTGATTTCGAGTGTTCACAATAGCGATATATTCTTGCCATTTCATTTGGAATAAAGTTTCGATATTGATGAATTTGCTGACAATAATGCATTTTCTTCGGTCAATTTCTTTGTAATTTGAATGGATATAGCGTTGCGCGATCACATCAACCAATTATCACGACAGCTGTGCATGATCAACGGATTGAATTCAGCACCGTACTGATAGTAGAATTGTTTTCAGTTTTTGTGTTTCTGATGGTTTCACATCATCAAATTTGTCTCAAATCGTCTGATCAGTTAATATGAATTATGTGAATATAAATTTTGAATTTCAGTTTAATATAGATTTCCGTCCTGTGTCCCGTACTATCAATGCTAATCAAGTGTTAATGTGAAAACAAACATACGATAATTTTATTCATAAGTTTATTTGTAATACGTTGCATGCGATGAAAAAGGGTTATAAGAATACAAGGAACTTCAATGAATCATTTAAATGTCAGCGTTTCACTTTTCAGTTGCAGAATTCGTTGCATTGCAAATTTTTCTCAGCCAGTCTATGTTAAGTGGAACATCCCACTCTCTAATAGTGCCGGGTTGTGTATGCAGCAGTATTGAATTCTAAAATTTGAAATGAATCATTTCTTGATTATAACGCACAAATTACTTTTAAAATCGTTCCGGAAGTCATGCCGAAGTAAAAAAGTTGAATGCTATCAAATTTACAATTGCAATACATCACATATTCTGTATATTCAGCAGTACGAAAATAACGAAATCAATAAAGCCAGAGTTTGATATAAGTGATCAAAGAAAAGAATTAGTTCGAATGTAGTTGCTGATGTGAAATTATACAGATCGAGAGTGAATCAGATCCAAGGAATCGATTGAAAGCAACTCACTAATTTTTCAATTATATCCAGAATGGCCGTTTGTTCTTCTTGTTCTTTTACGAATGCTTTTATGGAACGCATTGTTGAGGGCGAAATCTCATGACTGAAGACTCGATTGACGAAAACTTTGTTCTCCTGAAGTGAGAGAAGAATCACTGCTGAATATTTCAAAACTTTCGCAGTGCATCGAGTAGTGTCATCGAAAACTGAATATTTCACATGGATAAAGATGCTCAAAAGAAAGTTGTCAATAACTAGGTGCGTATCAGAAATCTGATAATATTCTGAGGATTTTTTCCTCCAAAAAGATTCGAAAATACTTAAGTGTTCCATTGACAATCTGATAATGAGTGATTCGGCATGAACTAACAAAAAATTTCGTAGTGCAATTGAATGTTCGAATGGTTCTCTATGAATTTCCTACTATTTCAAACGGTTTTCATTCAAGTGGCCACCTGCTCTGCAATAATTTTTAATATACCAATTCACGATTTTTTTATACACTTGAAATTAGCTGCCATAGTTATGAGCTTATAGTCTATTCAGGAGTCTATTATAGTCGATAGTCAAAATTTATGCTTGCCGAAAATTACTTCCGCGTTTGAGTTCACCTCAAGAGCTAATTGCGATTCGTGCATTTTGGGCATTCACTAAAACAATTTTGAACTGTCACAACTACGATGGGCGTACAAAATCATAGCGAAGAAACAATCATTCCAAATCAAATAGAGGTCAAAAATCCTTCGTACCATGTCAAATTATCAAAACGGGTAATCGAACGGACAGTGCAAACGATATCTATGATAATGCAAAGACGTCTTATAGGAACTGCAATTTTCTAACTGCTTGAATGAATTCATTTGTGAATTGATAAGCGAAATAGTTCGATCATGATTGGGTTGGCAGAAACAACAAAGCAGTGCCCACCAAAATAACGCAGTCCGCCAGAGTGATCATCAAACTTGAAGCGTTACCACAGAAGGTCGGAGGTGGCGCACACAAATACGGTGGTACTGGTACATTCATCTGCAAACCACGAATGGAGATATGAAACACCTTGACATATAAACAGAACACTTCAATAGTTATTTTCAAATATCTCCGGATAGGCTGAGGTTGAAATGGACGATTAGAAGTTTCCAAGAACAGAGTTTTTTCCGAAAATTTGCTTTTTTTGATAGAAACAGCGATTGATCTGCTGCGATAATGTATAGTTTCGTGAGCGAGTTGATCAAGTGTTGGGACTCTTCACAAAACGACAGATTGATTGTGCAGTTAGCATTTTGTTCAGTTCCAATTCTAGGTCATAATTGATTATGGGAATTAGTTGTATTACTTGAAGTTCGCAGTCTTCAAGGCGTTTCATATAGTTGTCGGCCTCCTGCATCTCCGCTTCACTGCTCAAGTTAGCAAAATTCAAATCGTCCAAAAACACTTGTGTACCCTTAAAATTAAAAATCCTAAGTAAAGGTATCGAAAATTCAATTTTCTCATGCCATTTTTAAAAAAATCAACAAAAAAATTCATCTTAAAACGTTTGTGAGTGTTCTGAAAAGTTTTCGCAAAATTTCCATCATTCAGAACTACTAATGGTGTCTTTTCTCTACATCATACGTTGAAGATTATTTTGGAATTTGTTTTCCATCTCATCAA